GTGAATGAATTATGAATATATTTAGCAAGTAGTCCCTATAGGATTTGCAGACATACTAGAGAAGTAGAGCAAGCAAAGATGGCACCAAAGGTATGTTTGTGTGTGTGCATGTGTATATGTGTATACACATATACATGTTTTCTTGAGCAACTGAGTGAAGAATGAACCAAATTCTGAGATGGAGAATATTTACTGGTTAGCAGGTTTAAAGGGAGTATGAAACAACAATTTTGTTCTGTTCATATCAAGTTTGAGCTACCTATTAGATATCTGAATAGAGATGTTAATAAGACAGGTGCATATACAAGGAGACTTCAAAAAGTTTGTGGAAAAACAGAATAAAGTACATGTGTGGTGCAAACAAATTTTGAAATCTATGCATAGGTTTTTTCATAATAAGCATTTTCTATTGAGGTTTTTAAGAGTCATTCTATGAGTTTGGAAATTAGATGGGAATTCTGAGACAGAGATATAAATTTTGAATTCATTAGCACATAATTGGCATAAAAATCAAGATATTATACACTGCTTTGGATGATATTGTATACTGCACTGAATGATATTATACAATGCATTGAATTTTGAGCTTTCTAATATTTAAAGATTGTTAGGGATGAAGAAAAACCAAAAACAGAGGCTGGGAAGGAACAGCAAATATGATAGGTGGGAAACAATGTGTAGCAATATACCTACCAAAGAGAAAATATTTTACTAAGAGAATTGGCTGTATCATATGCTGTTTATAAATTTGCAAACATTTACAAATGTAACAGTCATTGAAGAATTTCATTTTTATTGAATGGTAAGGTCAAAAGAATAGAGTAATAGTGATTATTACTAACTTTTTACTACTTGTTCTTATGTTCTTTCTAAATTATCTACCACATTTATCCATTAAAAATTTCAGTTAAATATAGTATATTAATAGATTGTTAATAAGAGAAAAGGAATTGGAGATAACGAGTATGAATAATTCTTCCAAAGAGTTTTGTTAAATAATGGTGACCAAAAATGAGCAGTAACTGGGACCAGCTATGTTGCTGAACTCCCAAGTAGCTGACTGTGGTTCGAGTCCCGGACCTGGTGGCTTAAACTCACGCTGGGTGCGTGTGCATGCCTGCCCAAGATCCCGAGAGGAGAATGGAGGAGAAGGGATTGAGGTGTGACTATCCCCCCTGGGGGGTGATTTCTCACTTTCTATCTCTCTGTCTCTCTCTGTCTTTCTGGAGAGCATATGCACCCTATAGCCAAAAAAAAAAAAGGTAGTAGCTGGAAAAAGAATATTTTAATGATAAAAATTACTTTTTTAGTATGCTTATGGGAATGTTTCCATATAAAATTAAGAAAAAATGATGAAACCCAAAAATGAATTAATTATAAAGGCTATATCTTAGTGAATAAAATCCAATGCTCTGTGTTGTGAGTTGAATGGTGTCATCCTAGATAATATATTCAAGTTCTAAAATGTAACTGTGAATATGATCTTATTTTTAAATAGGGTCTTTTCAGATGTAATCAAGTTAAGGTGAGGTAATAGTGAACTAGGTTGTACCCTAATCCAATGACTGGTAATCTTATAAGAAGTGGAACATTTGGACACAGACACAGACAGGGAAAGCATGCCATGTGATGGAGGCAGAGATTGGAATGATTCATTTACAAGTCAAACAATACCAGGAATTGCCAGAAACTTCCGGAAGCCAGGGGAGACATTGAACAGATTCTCCGTCACAACTTTTTGAAGTAATTGACCCTGCTGACACTTTCTTGGACTTGTAGTATCCATAACTATAATAAATTCATGATGGTTTAATTTACTCAGCTTCTAATTATGTGTTACAGTATTCTTAGTAATTTAAAGCATTCAGTTAAAGGAGTTAGACTTGGGTAGGAGGAAAAAACAGGCATTCACTTTAACAGGAGGGGAGACAGAGAATAAGGGTAGATTCATGTAGACAATTACATTTGTTTGTGAAAATAGTAAAAATTCCCTTCATCTTTATTAGGTGAGAGTAGGATAAGGATAAGGTGTTGCTGATTTGAAAGGATAGAGAAAAATGAGGAATATTCATCTTTGAAAGTAGAGAATGATTAAAAAACTATAGAAATATAATACCATTGGCCAGGTACCATTAATAGCCCACTTGGAGTTGTCATCATAGATTTAAATTGAAACTAATTATTGGAGTTACACACTTTTTTTTTTATCCACATTTATCTTGCAAAGATATAAATGTAATGGGACAGTTAAGTTTATTTAAAATTAAGTTTTTGTTAGAAGAGATGTGAAAAAGGACAGTGGGGAAAATGAAGTTGAATATGTATGCAAGAAAATATTTGTGCTGGGAACCAGCAGTTAGCATAATGGCTATGTCGCTGGACTCCCATGTAGTCGACCGCGATTCGCGTCCCGGACCCGGTGGCTTAAAACTCACGCTGGGCACGTGTGCATGCATGCCCAAGATCCCGAGAGGAGAATGGAGAAGAGATTGCGGCTTGACCATCCTCCCTGGGGGGTGATTTCTCCCTTTCTGTCTCTATGTCTGTCTCTGTCTGGCGAGCGCACGCGCCCTATAGCAAAAATCTCTCCAAAAAAAGAGAGAGAAAAAATATTGGTGCTGATATGCCATGAGCCTGTAAAATTGTAAGACAGGTGGGGATCTATGATGATAATTCACATAGTAATGGGGAAGGGATTGAAAAAAGTGATAAAAGTGATAAAGTAGTAAAAATCAATGGTTGGTCTTAGAAGGGTGGATGAATTGTTACAGTAGGAATATCAGAGGTATTTGAGGTAGTGGTTGTAAAGTGATATCTTTGAAATTAAGATTTTGGGTGGATATATATAGAAAAAAGACACTGATGTAGGATGTAAGATAAGATAATTGAAGAAGAGAAGGCCAAAAAATTGAAACTTTAGGTATGAGAATGATTATATAAATAGTAAAGTCACCAGAAATTAAAATAAGAGTACTATTTTGGGTGATAGTGGATGAGACAGAAAATTATGATGAAATGAAGAAGAGTTGCCTGGAAATGGGATGATGAATATAAAAAGGAAAGAAAGCAGGTGATATAATCTGATGACATAAGATTTAAAGTTAACTATTATTTTGGGAAGTAGAGAAGAACAATGACTTGGAAGTGACACAAATAAAAAAAATTGACATCTACTGCACTTCAGAGTCTGTGGTAGGAAAAGATATGGGAAAGAAGGCATCACCTATTCTAGGGGACTGTAGAAAAAAGCAGAATGTTTGAGGGGAGAGTCATGTTTAGATAAAGTAAGAAAGCAAAAGTATCTTCCAAGTAAGAGACAGAAGATGACATATAGGGTTTTAGGGATGACAGTAGATTTCAAAGAAAATAATCAATATTGACATAATCCTGAGACCTTTATGATGTAACAGGGGATAGTAGACGTATGCAGAATCCAACTAGAAATATTTTTATAAAAGCACTAATGATCTGAGAAGCCCACTTTGGGGGACTCATTTTTTATTTCCAGGTCAAATAATTCTTTTTTGTTCTTTGTTTCAAGCTACATTACATTTCGTTGTTCTAAAAGTAATACACAAACATTAAAAATCCAAATGTTACTGAAATGTATCATTTTAAAAAGGAAAGACTCTGTAATTCCATTCTCTAAAATAATTTTCCAAAATTTGAATTTCTTTTTTATTTTATTATTTTTTGAGAGATTTTTGCTATAGGGTGCATGCGCTCACCAGGAAGAGAGAGAGAAAGAGAGAGAGAGAGAGAAAGCAAGAAACCACATAGTTGACTACAGTTCGAGTCCCAGACCCAGTGGATTAAAATTCATGCAGGGCACACATTTGTGTGTGCCCAAGATCCTGAGAGGATAATAGAAGAGAGGGATTGTGGTGTGGCCATTCCCCTTTGGGGATGATTTCTCACTTTCTGTCTCTCAGTCTCTCTCTGTCTCTCTGGCAAGCACACGTGCCCTATAACAGAAACCTCTCTAAATAAATAAATAAGAACAAGACTAGATGGTGGCATGGTGGTTAAGGCGGCTGGATTCTGCATGGCCAACTGCATGATTCAAGTCCAAGATCTATTGGCTTCAAAAACATATCAAGCATGTGTATGTGTGTGTCCAAAATCTCCAAAACAGAACTGGAGGAGGAGGGATTGTGCCATGATTCCCCTTGGAGTACACTTTTTCACTTTCCCCCTCTCTCTCTCTCACTCTATGTGTCTCTGTTGAGTGCACATGCCTTCTAGCAAATTTAAATACATATACACATACATAAAATAAAAACCAGCATTGAAAGATGCAGACACTAAAGACTACAGAATTACAATTATTTATTTAATTCCATATGAATAACATTTTTATCTTTCATTTAATGACTCCTTTAAAAAAGAAACCCACTATATATGTATTTTTTTATACATTCAATCATGGTATATCACTACAGCATGCAAAATAAATTTTCCTAGCCTGAATAAACTATACAGTAGACCAGCTAAAGATATTATCACACACTTTATCATCAACAAATAATTTTCCATTTCCGTGTCTCTTAAATAGTTTGTTTCTTCATTAGGCATACTATTAAGTCTTCCCATCTATCACAATAATAGAATTATTTAATATTTTTATACATAAAATAAGGTATATCTAGTTTAATAAATTCTCACTATGTTTTTTTATCCTTTAAAATGCCTTTACTTACATTAATTTCTTTTATTCTCCCTAAAATAAGATGTGGTTATAGTAACTGAAACTTAGAAAGATAAAATGGCAAAGGTCATATAGCTATTCTATGAAAGAGTCTGAAGTAGCTATATTTCAAACCAATACCTCCACAATATTGATAAGAATTATTCCATATCCCTATTTAAAGTACAAGTTTTAAAACATAAACAAAATGATTGTGAAATAAATAGTCTTTACTCTTAGATATATAAATATGTAACCAAACTGAAAATATTACCCATTAAAAGTAGTGAAATGCATTAAACACAGTACTTACAATTTTGAAAGAGACATTTCCCCTGCCTATATGTTGCCAGGACTTTAGCAGCAATGTAAGTTCACACTGGTAATGTAGAGTGATGACATCATAAAGAGACATTGAACAACAGGAATTTAAAGGGAAAGGACAGAGTAGTCATACTTTACAGTGCTTAAGTTGTTCTGAAACCTATTTCAAAATTGTGAGTGCACACTCAACTTTTTTTTTTTTGATAGGTTTTTCACTATAGGGTTCATGCAGTCGCCAGAAAGACAGAGATACAGAGAGATAGCAAATGAGAAATCACCCCCCAGGGGGGATGGCCACACCGCAATCCCTTCTCCTCCATTCTCCTCTCAGGATCTTGGGCACGCACAGACTGCACCCGGCATGAATTTAAGCCATGGGATCTGGGATGCGAACCTCAGTCGACTACGTGGGAGTCCAGCGACATAGCCATTACGCTAACTGCTGGTCTCAACCAACAATCCACTTTGACCCACTCTAAAATAAGGATATTGGCCAGAGAATAATAGACTCTCCATGTGTCAGGTATTCAATTTTAGAAAGAGCTATTTAGCAAGCTAATAGTCATTTTTACAAGGGATGTACTTGGTGGTTGTTAAAGAGGCAACAACCCAAAACTCAAGAAGGAGCTTCAACCCAAAACTCAAGAAGGAGTTTCAAAGTAGAGGCTGCCTCCTTTGCCAAAATCTCCAATGGACAAAATCATCAGTCACACAGATGTGATTGTCTCCAGTACCCGAAAAGGACAACAAATGGCTGTGCTATTTTACTTATGGTAGGGGAGTGAAGAGAGAGCACTTTTTCCTTGGTTGTCAGAGGTTTAATACTAGGAAATTTCTTTTTTTTGGAGAGGTTTTTGCTATAGGGTGTGTGTGCTCGCCAGACAGACAGAGAGAGAAGAGACATAGAGATGGAAAGTGAGAAATCACCTCCCGGGGGGATGGTCATGGGCATGCACGCACACGCGCCCGGCGTGGGTTTTAAGCCACCGGGCCCGGGACGCGAACCATGGTCGACTACATGAGAGTCCAGAGACATACCCATTATGCTAACTGCTGGTTCCCCACATTCAACTTTTTAAAGTTTAAACTTAAAGAATCAATCAGTTACTCATTGGTCGAATCTGTTTGTTTATTAAATAACTAATTATTTAGACCTGTCTCATTTACTACTAGTTTTGAGTATTAATGTGTGCACACTCATATGTGTACATGTGTATATGTTTAAGTGAAAGATATGTATGGGCTAAAAGAAAAAGGAAATTCAAAAATAGAATATAAACATTTATTTACAAAGAGCTGTTGTAGTCCACAACATTTTCTTTATATTCAGACTATTTCTCTAAAACTTTTTCATATGTTCATGGTAATATTTCATGAAAATATCTTAAATGTGAATTATTCTTACATATGTAATCACAGAAAAGGTAAAATGTCTATTTAAATGATATAGACAGGTCTGAAAAATGCTTTCACTATAAAATTGAAAACGACTGGTATATACAGAGTTGTGTTAGAACTAGTTATCGACTGCAGCTTCTTTTCTGCCTCTGCTGCCATCAACACCTGTCTCCTGCTGCCACTGAGACTACATGCTATCACCCACCCCAAGCGTGATGCTCCCTAAAATGAGAGGTGATGGAATTAAACCACCCCCAATCACTGGAAGATTTGGAACTTCACTGAAAATTGGTATTGTGGGATTGTCAAATGTTGGGAAAACTACCTTCTTCAATGTATTAACTAATAGTACAGAAAACCTCCCATTCTGCACAATTTATCCTGAAAGCAGAGTACCTGTGCCAGATGAAAGGTTTGACTTCACTTGCCAGTATCACAAACCAGCAAACAAAATTTCTGCCCATCTAAATGTAGTGAATATTACTAGCCTTGTGAAGTGAGCTCGCAATGGACAAGGCTTGAAAAATACCCTTTTATCTCATATTAGTGCCTGTGATGGGATCTATCATCTAATATGTGCTTTTGAAGATGATGATATCACACTTGTTGAAGGAAGTGCAGATCCTATTTGAGATATAGAAATAATACTTGAAGAACTTTGGTTTAAAAATGGATAAATAATTGGCCCCATAATACATAAACTATAAAAGATGGCTGTGAGAGAAGCAGATAAAAAGCTAAAACCTGAATACGACATAATGTGCAAAATCAAGTCCTGGGTTCTAGATCAAAAGAAACCTTTTCACTTCTGTCATGATTTGAATGATAAAAGATTGAAATTTTAAATAAGCATTTACTTTTTAACTTCAAAATCAATGGTCTACTGGTTAATCTTTCTGAAAAAGACTACATTAGGAAAAAAAACAAATGGTTAATAAAAATGAAAGAGTGGATAGACAAATATGACCCAGGTCCCTTGGTTATTCCTTTTAGTGGGGACTTGGAACTCAAATTGCAAGAATTGAGTGTTGAGGAGAAACAAGTATCTGGAAGAGAACACGACACAAAGTGCTTTTCCAAAGTTGATTAAGGCTGGATTTGCAGCACTGCAACTAGAATATTTTTTCACTGCAGGCCCAGGTGAAGTGCATTCATGGACCTTCAGGAAAGAGACAAAGTCTCCCCACGATGCAGGGAAGATTCACACAGATTTAAAAAAAATATTCGTTATGGCTGAAGTAATGAAATATGAAGATTTTAAAGAGGAAGTTTCTGAAAATGCAATCAAGGTTACCAGAAAATACAGACAGTGAGGCAGAAATTATATTGTTGAAGATGAAGACATTATCTTCTTCAAATTTAATACACAACAACTGAAGAAGAAATAAATTTTAGTTGCTGCTCAGATAAATGTATAACTCTAAAAAGCTTTTTTTTGGTAATTAAAATTTCTGAAAACTGGGGACCAGCAGTTGGCATAATGGCTATGTCGTTGAACTCCCATGTAGTCCACCGCAGTTTGAGTCCTGGACCCGGTGGCTTAAACTCACGCTGGGCGCATGTGGCGTTAGCGTTAAGGCCAAAGATAAAAACCTCTCCAAAAAAAAAAAAAAATCTGAAAACTTAAGGGACAAATAACGTCAAGGGGATGGGAATCTTCTACAAACAAATTATTTTTGTTTCTTTTAATATGAAAATACTATGTACCTCTGATGAAATTCAAGTTCACTAAATGTAAACAGCTTTGCTTTTCATGTGATCAAGACCTTACTCTAAATTGTAGAAACTTTTCGGGAATCATATTATTCTCACGACACTTCATTAATCTCCATCACGCCTGACACATTTGACAGTGAGGACAATGTGACTTGCTCCTTTTTCAATCTACAGATAATGCATGTTTTACAGTACTCCAGATGTCTATATTCAATAAAACATTTGACAAAACAAAAAAGAAAGAAAAAAAATTTATCCACTGCTACTACAGTTATCAACTGTAGAAAATTGATAAATGTGAACTTTTTATTATAAAAGTAAAAACTTTCAGGAAGCTAAGAATGTGTATGAGAGGTTGTCTTTATATGCATCATACATAACTGAGAGTTTCTCTTCTTCAGGAGAAAAAGTAGTTTGTTAGCTAAACTCATTAATATTTTACCACTTTTTTATCATTGAATTTTTCTTAATTTATTTTTTACAGTTTATATATTTTTTTCTTTTTTGGGGGAGGTTTTTACTATAAGGTGTGTGCACTTGCCACAAAGACAGAGAGAGACTGACAGAAAGAGAGAAATCACCCCCCAGGAAAGATGGCCATGCCGCAATACCTTCTCCTCCATTCTACTCTTGGGATCTTGGGTACACATGCACACGTGTCCGGCGTGAGTTTAAGCCACTGGGTCCAGAACTCGACCCACAGTCGACTACATGGGAGTCCAACGACATAGCCATTACTCTAACTGCTAGTCCCAACAGTTTATATTTCTATGTAATACTATATTTTGTTTTAGAAAATGAAAGGAAAATTATGTGATCCAATATACCAAGGTAGTTTCCATTGAGTAGTGCAAAGTTGTATTATCTCAGAACTCTTCCAATGGCCAAACTAAGTTCACAAACTAGTCAAATAGCATTACCTTCTAAAGGAAGCTTATACAAAGTCATTCACTTTATGAGCAAAAAACAGACAAAAATAATACATTTGAAAGGAATATCAACCATGTATAAAAAGCCATGATGGGGCAGGTTGTGGCACAGCAGTAAAACATGTCATTTCACATAGGAATGTTGCCAGTTTGCATGTGGAGACTTTTATGAGTATAATGGAAATGCATGTGTCTGTGGTCCAGAATGACTCAATTGGGGGTCGGGAGATTGTTGTGTGAAAGCCCCCATGAGAGTGCTGTATATCTCGCTCTGTCTCTGTTTCTCTCATTCATAGAGTAAATTATTAAAACAAAACAAAACAAAAAATAACTGATGAAAATGTGCTTCTACTCCACTGACCCAGTAAATATACTCCTAGGATGCATCCTAACTAAATTATTATTTTGAGTAGAAAGATGTTTATCATAGGTTTAAAATATTTAAATAATATTTAATATTGAAAATAGTAAAACTTGGAAGTGCTCTAAATGTCCAAGATTAGAAAATAATTTTGGTAAATTGCTTGAGTAAATCTACATGAGAGCAGTGATCATATCTGTTTTGCTCATCACTGTATCCTTATGTGTATGAATAAAACCAGGAACATTAAACTGTACATACAGTTTGATATCTACCATATAAAGCAAATATATTTACAACAAAAGAATGGATGTAAACACATCAAAATGGCAATAATGAGAGTAAGGGTAAATTTATTTTCTGCATGAAATGTTTTACATATTTTTCCTACTTCTGAGAATAGTCACTGCCATTTGATGGGAATTGCATTGAATGTGTAGGTTAGTTTGGATGATATTAACATTTTCTGTTGATTATCTAATCTAAGAACAAGGGATGTCTTTCCAATTTTTAATCTTTTTTTCTTTCTTCAGTATTTTATAGTTTTTATTGCATAAAATTTTAAACTCTGTGATTAGATTTATTCATAGGTTTGTGTGTGTGTGGGGCTGGTAAATGGTATTGCTTTCTTCATTTCTCTCAGTT